TCCTTAATAGTGGGTATTTAGGGTAAAATACTGGGCAGTTGGCGGGTCTAGGCTGCACCATGCCCATAGGCCCCAAAGTAGCTCCTTTTTGGGATTACCTTATTTATTCTAAACGAAAACCATAAAGCCCTAGACTTTCCCAAGCCTTGCAACGCCAACACGGGCAAGGGCGTTTGGGAATTTCTGAGCCCCTGAGCCTCAAGCTGCGTATTAACCCCAAATAACTTAAGCACTTTTTTCATTTAAGAATTATAAACCGTCATAAAATAATTAGGTTGTTTATAGAGATCTTAAGCCCTACCGTAAACCCTAAAATCTAAACCCGAGCCGTAAGCCCTACCCTGTGCAAAAAGGCCTCATTGAGAAGCTGACGAGCAAGGGCATCTCAATTGAGGTCCACCAGCCAGTGCCAGGGCGGCAACTTGCGGGGCTTTAGGGGTTCATGTGGTTTAGGGTTTAGGGCTTAGGGCCAAGGTCAAAGTTATATGAGGTTTCCTAGTTGTCAGGGTCTTCCTTTCAGGGTCTTGGGCATCACGTAGGGGCCAGCCCGAGTCATATAGGGGTTCTTAAGTTAGGATAGGCCTTGCCCAGTTTGGGTAGTTACATCAGCGTCAACCATCTATAGCCCAATAAACACAACTAGTAGCTCACTATTCCTGAAATACTTTACCTAGTCTATTTCTCAGGTGATGTAACTCCCGAAATGGCCACGGACGCCTGCCTGGCTACTGTTAATGGTAGAAATCCTGCATTACCTTAAGGACCCTAAACTATGTGAATTATGGTATATTCCTTAGAATGGGTAATGCAGGATTTATATCATCAACCGTAGTTTGGATGCTGGGGTTGTGCCGTGCTGTTTAGGGTTTAGGGCTGAATTCCCGGGATCCGAGAGACTGAGAATGACTAATGGGAAGGGAAGGGATGTCGTGTGATCATGTCATCAAGAACTGCAAGCCCCAAGTCCTTATAAGCCTCTCACCCTCTCCACTGCCATGGATTACCGACACGTTGCGCCGGAATTTCGACAAGTTGCCCTAATGATACAGATTTCGCTCGTGGGATGCGCCATTGCCTACGTAACTTGGCAATCAGTCCTGATCTTCGGATCTGGCGGGAGCCCTCCAGTAGAAATCTCCGTTGAGCCTTGGCGCGACTTCGGACTGTGGGCGGTGTGCGTGAGACCAGTGTATCCAGACGTTTACGTTGGTGATGCTGGCGTGGGAGTTTATGATCTCCCCGCGTACACGGGTCAAGGGGTGCCGAATCCAGCGGGTTTGAGCGCAAAGTCAAGCAAGCTGGCTTCGCAGATGTACCCTGAAACAGTTCAGTTCGACCAGCGACCAGCCAATTGCGCAATAGCAGATATGACGGATCTCCCGGACATGAAGTTCCCAGGCAAATTCACCTTTTGTTCAACTGTTCCGTCTGGATGGTTGCTGGTGAGGTCTTTCACTGGTTGGCAGTACTTTTCAAATTTCGGTGGCAATGACTACGCGATCCTCAAGCTTCAGGCAAGAAAGCATGGCTCAGATTTCGGCTACCACAGTGCGACATCACAAATATTCAGCACCACTAGAGTAGTGTACTGGCACGATGCCGGCAATGATGCGAAGCATTACGTGGAGTATGACCACCTCGGACAGCTTTGCAGTATGACGACGATTAAGTCGACAGAGACACAAGTCGCAGCCATCAGTGCCTTGACAGTTCTCGTTGAAGACCCTATGCTCACAGTTACCACAGAGCTTGGAGTTTTCCCACAGCTAGTCAGGCTTGCGACCAGTCTCGGCGGGTTCCTCTACATTGCTGTCCTGGTATTTACAACGATCTTCGTCAAGCAGTTCCCACACAGTGACATTGCCCAGACATATGATAGGCGCACGTTGTTTGGCAACCGGTCATCAGGTAACAGACCATCGGACCTGCAAGAGTCAGGTAGCCAAGCTGAAAACGGCAATGCCTTCAGCTCTGCGACCAGTACTGCAAAACAAGCGGAAACTGCGCAAACCATAGGCTTGGTGCGAGAGCATAGCCAGCGAATGCCGGAGCTTCCGCCTCCTGGTATTGCGCGTCCTGCTGGCTCTAGGCTGACAGAATAGACAGATCGGCACAGCTCGATGAGTTTCAGAAATGCCAGTTGCCTTGGCCAAGCCTCAGAGACCTGGCAGATGGCCTGCGTGAGAAAGAACAGCGTGCACGAAGTGCCCGTGAAGTCTTGGCGGAAACACTGCCCTGTATAGTATAGTGCTTTTGGAAGCGCTTTAGCCCCGCCCGCAGACGCCCGCAAAAGCGCAGATTCGTGCCATGGGGTGGTGCGAATATACAGAACCACGTGATGGATGTGCAGAGCCCGCAAATCCCACATGCTAAGCCGCACAGCTCCAAGACAAGCACCGTTTGCGAAATGAAAGACTGGCTTGAATTCACACGTACACCAATCAAACAATGTCACGCTGAAGCACAACAAAAAGAGAATCTGACATGTGCAGTGTAGTTGCGCAGTCTGTGAAGCATAAGCCCTAAACTGTTGGGTTTAGGGTTTATAAGGTTTAATTGGGATAGGGTTTTAGGGTCCCGGGTCTTCCAAAGGAGAAGCCAAACCCCATCTTCAACGTCTTGGGCGACGTCGCTTTCCCGTTGCTTCTGATTGCCGGTGCCTGGGCCTGTGATGTTTGCGATGGCACCGTTTCTGCTGTGGATTTTTGCTACCACTCGCATGGTAGCGACTGCTTGTTATGAGGAGTGTGTCGCTAAACTTATGGTAGTTAAGTCACCATCATGGTTGCTGAAACCACATGCTTTGGTGCGGTTCACTGCTGCCAAGTACCTGGTGTGGCTAATAAGGCAGTGCCTGACGTTTCGGCTCGTGTTTTCTTTTTGTGAGGTGATGATCGGATGGGGGGTTATGGTTTCTTGGTGTGGACCTCCAAATACTGTGTGCTTTGCGTATCTTCTCAGGAAAGTACAGAAGCTGTATTGCCCAAGCCATAATTACAGTAAGTTCTAAATCCAACAAGAGTTCCCAATTCCTCTTCCGTAGTTAAACCCAAGCCCTGTTCAAACCCTGAACCTTAAAACCCCAAGCCCAAAACTTTAAAACCCTCGACCATACGCCCTAGGCTGCCGGGGGCATTGATGGCCCTGAAAGAACTTGACAAGGCTCGAAGAAGCCTTATTTAAGGAAGTATAGTACCTACCCTGCCGCCCTCCCAAACCCTCAACCCTAAACCCTGAACCCTGTCCCCCTCCCCCCTACTTTCCTACGGCTCCCAACTATGAGGGTTTCTGTCTGAGGAAGCATAGTACCTACTCTACCCCCTCCCAAACCCTCAACCCTAAACCCCCTATACATTCCTCCTAGGGGTCCCTACTATGAGGGTTTTTGTCTGAGGACTCCTCTTTCTTCGCTCCCGCTCCCCCGGGGGTGGCGGCATTCCCGGCTTCGGCAATCAGGGCCAGGCGAAGATCATGCACCTGGGCTCTTAAAGGGCGGCTTGGGGCTTAAGATTTATATAGATAGATAAATAATACATAAAAACATATATATATATATATAAACTCTATATATACATTCAGGGTTTGGGGTCCAGGGTTTGGGGTTCAGGGGATTTAGTGAGTAAGGTTGTAAGCGCCGCAGTTACTTTAACTAGATGAACCTGTTTATATCTTACTTATACGCCTGCTTACTCTAAGTCCTGTGATCCTTTACGGTTATAGGCTCCTGCTGCCCTAAACCTTAAGCCCTAAACCGTAACGCAGCCTCCCAGGTTCCCGACTTAACCTCAACCCTGAAGTCCTAAAACCCCACATGTTTTTCAGGAACCTGCGGCGCTAGGAGCCAAGAAGAAGCCCGAAGCCCCCCATCAAAACTTCATGCCCCAATCTTGGATGGGAAACACGCGGTTTTTTTTGGGTTCTGGCGGGTCGAGTGTTGAGAATCCGGGCGTCTTGAAAACGGGCTATGGGCTTTACGCTGCGAAGGTTCTGAAGGGTCTAGAGTCGGCGGCCTCAATAAACTGGGTTCTGGAGTGCCATACTTGAATACTTTTTTTTGGACCTGTTCCTTAAAGGAAGCGTTATAAAGTAAAAGTCTATACTTTGTTCTCCCTGGTTACTTCAAAGTCCAGTAAAAGGTGGGACGAAGGTGTATGTAGGATTAAGGATCCATATCTAAGGACTCCTTTTTTTCGGAATGTCACACCTACGTTCATCCCAGCTTTGGAGCCCTTTGATAGAGTTGTGCCTTTTGTGTTTCTGCGGTTCTGTCGGAGAGATACCTTCCACCCTGAGCCTTAATCCCCAAATCCTAGATGAAATGCTTAAACCCTAAATGCTGAATCCTAAACCCTGTATACATACCCCTGCAGCCCGAAGGATCACTCCGGAGACCGGCGTGAAGTTTGAAGATGTCGCCGGAATCGACGAGGCACAGAGTTTTACACAGAGTTTTACAGAAACCTGAATAGCTATGCATCATATTCTTCAGAGTTCCTACTCTTGTATATATATATATATACATACATATGTATATGTATTCATAACAGTACACATCCCGGAACTCTATTCTACATTGCTCACGCCTTCATTACAGGTTGCAATTCGCCAGAAGGGTGTATGTTAAAACTCAGCAACACCGCAGGCACAACTGTCATCCTTGATGCGGAAAACTCGATGCCTGCAAGTGAAACTCCGGAAGAGCTTCGGCCTTCCACACAGCACCTCGTCATACGTCGTTAGAAGCAGCAGGAGGAGTAGTAGTCGTCGTCGTCGCGGCCGTCGTGGTGGTGGTAGGAGGAGGCGGAGGAGGACGAGGAGGAGGAGGAGGAGGAGTAGTAGTAGTGGCAGTAGCAGTGGCATTGACAGTGGCGGTGGTAGGGGTAGTGGTAGTGGTCGGAATCGTAGTGTTTGAAGCGCCCAACAAGGCCAAGGAGGAGCTCATGGAGATCGTGGATTTTCTGAAAGCGCCGGAGAGGTTCGTGAAGGCACCTTGCAGGGCTTCTGTCTGTGTTTTTAGTGTCTTTTTTTTGGGGGGCAATATGGAAGCCAGAACGATTTGTAATTAGCAATACGATTCCTAAGCGGTCCGGAAGCCTGAGTCTAATAATCAGGACCCCTATTTGCGGGGTTTGCGATGAAGGTTGACGTGATTCTGGCTTTAAGGGTGTTCAGGGTGTTGAGGTTCACAGTCTCCTGAAGGCCTAGCCCCTAACTGAACAAACCATTGAACCCTATAAGCCGTAAACCCGAAGCGCTTAAACCTCCGAACGCCGTAAACCCTAAAGCCTTGCACCCCAAACAGTCTCCTGAGGCCGACAGCAAAAACTCTTCAGCCCTTCAACCCCAACCCTATATAAGCCCCAAACCCAAGCCCCAGGCCTTAAACAAAATCCCAAAATCTTTCCATCCCAAACATGAGCAAAGGTGGGCGCGAAGATCCCACGCGGCGTGCTGCTGACCGGCCCACCGGGCACCGGTAAGACACTGATGGCCAAGGCCTCCCGCAGATTCGAGTCTTTTCAGGCTGCAGTGTTTTTGGGTTGACAGGGCCTTAATGCCTAACCCCTATAACCGACCGTCAACCCTAATTCTGTGGTTGAAGTTTGAAAGATGTAGCAGTAGTGTTCTTCCGAACTTAGTGACATTTTAGGGCTCAGGGATCGGAATTGATGGGCAGCCTTGTCGGGTTCATAGGGGTTACGCTTTGGTGTTTGAGGTTTGAGGCCTGTGGGTTGTGGTGTTTGTGTGTATGTCAGCGTGGGTATAGGGATGATTGCTTCGAGGCTCGATCTTGGTTACTTGTTTCTTTTGTTTCTGAGCATTTTTGAATCATATCCCGTAAGCCCTAAGCTGTCACTAAATCCTAAACCCAAATCCTTATAATCCCTAAACACGAACCTCATTCTGGAATCATATCCCCTGAACCCTAAACCCTAAACCCTAACCCTAATCCCAAAGCAAAAAGAAGGATCTCCAGGACTATATGCTTTGCTTACCTTGTGCGGGGAGCTGCGATTTTCCAGTGAGTGACAAGCAGGGGATTCATGCGTCGGGGTTTTAGATGAATTTCTGGGGGGTTGAGATTATTTTTTCTCGGCTTTAGACTACTATTTCGGATTTAAATTTAAAGCTTTGGACTGACTAGGTTTTGAAGGCCCTCAGGTTTTATGATTTGGGTTCAGGGTTTCCGCTCAAGCCCGATCCTTGTGTCTCGCTGGATCCTGACAAACTTTTGCAGGAGGGTCGTGATTTTGTTAGTGTCTGGGTGCCCTGAACCTTTCCAGGCATCTGCGTAGTTGTTTTTAGTCTTTTGGCTCTGGCCCTGTAAAAGGGATCTCGAAAATCGATGTAAAAAAAACATAGGTGGTTTGCTTACCTTCTAACCCTAAGGGTCCAAGTAATCATTATTTAAGGACTTTGGAGCCCAAAAACCATAAATAAGGACTACTTGGACGCTAAGGGTAAGGGGACTTTGGAAACCTGCACAGCCCCGGAAGCTCCGCCAGTTCCCTGCAGAGGCTTTGGCGGGTGAGTCCGGAGTGCCTTTCATTCAGCCTGCCGGCATCATGTCCGTTAAACCCTAAGCCCTAAACCCTAAACCCCAAACCCTAAACCCCAAATCCGAAAACCCTAAATCCCAAAGCCCTAACAACCCTAAAGACCGCAACCTTTGCGGTTAAGGTTAAGAAATCAGGCCCTGTTCTTAGGGCTTTCTAGGGATTTGCGACGGTTTTTGGCAGCTTACTTGGCATCGCTCCTGCGGTATCGAGGGCTTCAAGCAGAGTGAGTCTTTGCTGGCTTTGCCACTCGGTTTAGGGTTTGGGGTTCATGGTCTTTGAGGATCTTTGAGGGGTTTAGTTTAGGGAAGTCTCGGGTTTGGGGTGGGGGGTTTAGGGTTTAGGGTTTGAGAAGGTGTTGTTTACATTTTTAGGCGTAAGGATTTATTGGAGTCCGTCTTGCAACAGGCATGTTTGTTGCAGGGGTTGCGGGAGTTTTGTAATATAGAGACCTGCATGTTGCGGCTCGAGCTATACTTGTGGCCTGTTGATGTTATACTGCTATCAGAGAACCCTAATTAATGGTTATGTTTACTGAACATTCTGGCTCCGGGGATAGTATTCCTAGCGGTTCCAACCCCTATATCAAGCCCGCCCGGAGCACATGTTTCCAAGACCGCGTTGCGGTGCCCCCAGCTCACCTAAGACTTGAAGAGGTGGTCGAGACTGAGCTTCTAGATGGTTATTGCTCTGACAAGCCAGCGCCGGACCCCTCATCTTGCTGGCACAGAGAGGTAAAGCCTGTGTCGGCTATTTCGGACAGCATGGCTGGAAAGCTACGTAAGAGGGGCCTGGACGTCGCAGCATATGCAGTAAGGGTTGTTCCGTCCCACAAGGATCTACAAGTGCCAATGCTCTGAGACCTTGTTCTTGGTCCTGCTCCCGGACGAGAACGAGAATGGCAGCTTCTTGTGGCCGATGTCGGTGAACTCCTTTCAGGTCGGCCCCGTTCCACCGGAGAGGCTATCACGGCCTTGCAAAGAAGAATTCGTTGTACCGGGTCGTCATGATGCAGCCCGGAAACCATGAACCTCAACCTCTTAGCCTTAAATCTGAAATCCTTAACCCTGAACTCCAGAACAGAAACCCCTGATCCGGCAAAGCCCTGAACCCTATACCTGACTCCATAAACCCTAAACCCCAGACTTGAACCGCACAGAAGCAGAACCTCGGGCCTTACCTAAACCTCCCAAACTACACTCTACTGCATATCCCTTAAATCCCCAGTATTAAAGACCATAAGGGCTTTATTCAAGAGCACTTGGGGGATCCTGGCACACCCCACACCCACCGTAAAGCCTCCAAAAACCGAGGTCTTCTGCTTCGGAGTTCATCGAACTCTTCGTCGGGGTGGGTGCCTCGCGGGTGCGCGACATCTTTAAGCAGGCAAAGGAGACGCTTTGCGAGTATTCAATGCTTTAGAGTTTAAAGTTTTCCAGTTTTGGGGTTAGGGCTTATACAGTGGCGGAGCTAAGTCGCATCATGTTTTTTTGTATCCCGCCCCACGCTGGGGGGAAGCACCCGTGGGGGGGTCCATCATCGAGCGTCTACTTGGGGTTTCGTGATCTCGTTGATTCGGAATTGTTGAGGTTTGATTGCTGAAGCTGAGTTTACACCGAGTTACATGCAGAATCGTTCTTTCTGTAGTACTGGGTGCTTAAGGGTGCTTGCGAATTCGAGCTAGTTTTGATTTGCTGTTGGATGCGATGTCGTTGTTGTGTTTCTGGAGCAGGTGCTTGCTAAACCGGGCGTCTACATGGGGTGCGGCTGGTATTGATTTGCTGTTTGCCGCTGATGTGTTTCTTGTGCGGGTGCTTACAATATCGAGTGCCTACATGGGGAATGACTGGCTTTGATTTGCTGTTTCATGCGATGTCGCTGATGTGTTGCATGAGCGGGTTCTTAGGAAAGCGAGCATCTATCTGGGGAACAGCTGGTTTTGATGTGCAGTGATGCTAGTATGTGCTGCTGTTCTGTTCTGCAACGATCGGCACCGAATACCGCACTGAAAACGGCTGATTTGGATGCGCTGTGATGTCACTGATGTTTGTCTTCAGCATGTGCCGGCGTTAGCTGGTTCTGATGTGTTGTGATGCCCCCGACGCTTGTCTTGTGCGGGTGCTTCTCAAACCGAGCGTCTGCATGGGGAAAGGGTAGTTTGGTTGAGTTGTGATGCCACCTGAGGTTTGCCTTGAGTGTGTGCTTGTGAAATCAAGCGATGGTGAATAGCTGGCTCTGATGGTTTATGATTCCACCGACGTGTGTTTTGCGTGGGTCCTCTACATGGGGAATGGGTTGGTTACCATGTGGTTTTGTCAAATGGATGCAACCTTGCTGATGCGGCGTCTACATGGGGAAAGCCATGATGTGACCATGATGTGACCTCCTCGCATCGCGCACGTCCACTTAGACAGTTATGTTCCAACAAAAGTGATGTGACTTAGCTCCATCACTGTAGGGTGTAGGGTTGAGGGTAAGAGTGTTGGGGGTTTCAGGAATACTTTCTTTCAGTGTTTTTTGGGTTCTTAAGGTTTAGCAGGGAAGGAGAAAAATACTCAAACCCCAGACTTGTGCGCGGGCTGCGAGAACATCGAAGTCCCAATCCAGTCCGCAAGCCTACCCTGAACCTAAACCCTACACCTTAAAACCCTAGACCCTAAAACCCTATACCCTAAAGCCCTGAAGCCCCAAACCCTAAACCAACCGGATCCTTGAATTTTCTTGAATCAAAGTCTTACTCAATGCTTTTATGTTGTTGTTTGGATCTCCTGGCTCATGGGTTGTTGCAGGGATCTCCAAATCAATATTGTTTGCTGACCTTCATAAGGGAGTGGAGTTATAAGGGCTCTGGGGAAGCGCCCCAAAACCCCAAAAGCCCATAAACCGTAGAAAAGCCCTAAACCCCAATAGCCTGCAACCCTATAAACCCTAAACCCAAAGCAAGAGACCCAGGAAGGCGCCCTGCATCGTTTTCATCGATGAGATTGCCACCGGGACAAGCACTTACCCAAAGGGTTGTGTAGTAAGGCTCCCTTTTTCAAACGTTAAAGGGTACAGAAAGTTCCACAGTGGGATTCCTTTTGGGGCCTTATCCCGAATCATAAGGTTCTGATTGTAGAAAGCCCGCATTGTACTATATAACGTTGTACTATGTATAGGTACTTAAGACCCTGTGGTACTTAGGAACCTTTGGGCATTAACGTGTCGAGAAGTTTTAGGGTTTTGGGCGCTAGGATTAATTTTAGACCAGTGTAGTGTTTTGTCTTTCCCCTTCGAATTTCGAAGTCCTAAACTCTCGTAGAGGATTTGATCCATTACCGACATGATTCCTTGGTTCTCTTACTCAATAGAACCGCAAGTAATTTGCACGAAAACCCTGTTCTAAAAAAATGTCCCTACATTAACTCCGAACCCTCGGTTTAGAGTTTGGGCTTAAATTACACCCAGTATGCTCCGCTTATAAACTCTAAACCCTCGACCCTTCAGCCCTAAACCCTAAATCCTTCGCTCCCTAAATTTCGAACTCCCAAAACCCTAAGCCCCCGACCGTCGCGGCTTGAGGATGCCATCGGAAGACAGCGCGGTGCTGGCATGGGCGGCGGCAATGACGAGCGAGCCCCTTGGCTCTTTGCCAAAGGGTCCTTCGCAATACATGGGGGTTTAGAGTTGTTCAGGGTTTAGGGTTCAAGGTGTTGGGTTGCAAGGGTTTGGGGTCCTTAATACAGCGGCCTTGGTATTTTGGGAAGGATTTGGGGCACACTAAAGCAGATTGTAGCATTGTTGGAACAGGGAACCCCAAAAAATTGTGTTCTGACTGTGTATTCCCCCATATGACCCTCCTGGGATTGGACGATGTAGTTCCAGGGTTGTGTGTGTGTGACATATTGACAAGTGGGGTTTCGGGTTTAGGGCCTTAAGCGGCAATCTAAATATAAATACATAAATAAATAAATAGATAAAGAAATAGACTTATGTATATATATATATATGTATGTATATATATATATATGCATTAGTATAGTTGCCTCAGCAGATACACTGCATTCGCACTCAGCACTAAACCTTCTGGGTTCTGACTGTCCGTACGAGCCCTTCAAAAGAAAACGCTTCAAGCGCACGAAATCCCCAGAGACAAGGAGCAGACGCTGAATCAGATCCTCACGGAGATGGACGGCTTCGAAGGCTCAAATTAGGTTTAGGGGTGTGCGATTTAGGTACTTGGGGATAGGATAGTATAGTTGTCTAGGGTTAGTCTTCGGAAGAGTATATGATGATGGCGATGGCATTTGTCAACCCTATGTTAAGGCTCTCGGGCGTGTTTTGTTTTGGGAGGGTTGGAGGGCGAGGAGAGTGATGGTTCCCTTTGTATTAACCCTCATCCCAAAACCTAAACCCCAAATCCTAAACCCCAAACCCTAAACCCTAAACTTGCAAACCCTAAACCCTAAACTTTCAAACCCTAAACCCTCAACCGGGAAGAGTTGAGATTTCGGGGGGAACCCAGATCCCGAAGGCAACAGCGGTGTGATTGTCGTCGCGGCCACCAACAGCCACTTTGTTGCAGCGACAGAAAACCTAACTAACTAAAACACCCCACAAGAACTCTGTGTATGCCTGAATAATTTCACCAATACGATTCCTCAGAACGCCTTCTCAGAATTGAAATAGAGTAGATCCCCAAGCCTTATTCTAAGCATTACGGCCCCGGTAGCCACCCGCTAGAGACCCTACTTGTAGCTGCTTCACCTCCAGACCCTGAGCTTCTAGACCTGGCTTATGAGAAAAAGAGCTACGGCTGATGATATAAATCCTGCATTACCTTAAGGACCCTAAACTGTGGGAATTAGGGTATATTCCTTATCATGGGTCATGCAGGATTTATATCATCAACCGTAGTTTATCTTACTTCCATGGTGATATCGGTGAACCAGGGGGTCGGTGTAGCCTTGCATTTGAGGTCTGGGGCTACAAGCAATGCCTACTCCCCGAGCCTTCGTCCCATTGTAGATCAAGAACAACCTTTGTATAATGTCGCTTGTTGGCCTTTTTCCTTTACAACAACCCTAAAACCCTAAGTCTAAAACCCAACTAACCTTATACCAACCCAATAATGGCCTTTCTGATAGCCCTTTTAAATGATCTTGGGAAACCCTACCTTCACTCCAAATAACTTACCATTTTAAGGACTTATATAAAGAAATCATAATAAGGAACCCCATAAACGTAAGTTCTTTAGGGTCCCCTAAAACCCAAGGTCAGCAAGCCTAAACTCTATAGGTCCTAGACCATGAAAGCCTAAGCTTCATCCCAGTCGCATCTAGACTATCCAGCTTCGTGGCTGAATGAGTAGTAGACTTTAAGATGATATCATCTCATCAAAGTTCATCCAAAGAACTGAAGGTTAGAAGTTTTTTTTGCTTCTGAGCTGAGCAACTAAGCCGTTCTCACCACCCTGAGCTTGATCTTCAACCTATGGGGCAGTTCTCGAAATTAGGGTTCCGTTTTGCGGTCAGTGAGGCGGTCCTTACCAAACTACTAGCCAAGCCCATCGTGCTTTAAGGTTTTCAATCACGTGCTTGCAAGACGTTGTCGACCGCTCACACTTCTTATGCTCACCATTCACCATTCAGCGTCGCACATGTTGTTTGCGGGTATAAAGGACAGGACTGAAGCTTTGAATTCATCGGGAAGGGCTGCAGGAAAGGACTAGCAGACTTGTATTGAGAGCCGAAGCTTTGACTTTTTTTCTGTTTAAGCCGCAAAGCCGTAAACCCAAGTGCCCTACGCAATCCAGCATGCAAGCCCGAAACGGAAGTCTCAAACCCACTGGATGCTGATTCGGTTTTAACCATTAGCATCACCATCACTTCGCGATGTTCCTTATGGGGGGCATCCTCCCTTAGGGTCGGACATCCTCGACAACGCCCTGCTGCGTCCTGGACGTTTCGACCGCCGCGTGCAGGCCTTCAAGCCGTAGGGCTTCAGCTTCTGGTGTTCAAGGTTTCAGGTTTTTTCCTCTGCACTTTAGGGTTCGTACGGCCTGGCATTTGGGAGCTAAGTAATTACGGCTTTAACATGTTTTAAGTTACTGAAAGAAAGGTTTATTTTACAAAATATTCAATATAAATGTGAGCTGTTCCGGGCTTGTGTGCGTGTTGTCTTCCATGAGCTCCGTGAGGCCGCTCCCCTGTGAAGGCTGGGTTCATTGGCTATACAATTGAAGCACGATAATCCTGTTGATGATCGAAATCCTGCATTACCCATGATCAGAAATATACCAGAATTCCCATAGTTTAGGGTCCTTAAGGTAATGCAGGATTTCTATCATCAACATAGTTTGGGTTGTGACACGCATCATCAACAATGTCATAAGCTGTTGTTGTAAAATGAGCATACTCAGCACGGACTCCTCGCGCAATGCATTCAGCACAGCAATGTTCAGAGTAGCACCAGTGTTTTTCCATATTAACGACGACAACATCCGCAGCAATGTGCATATGTATTCCAACTCACAGCAGCAACAGCATTTTTTTGTATTATAAGTCCTGAAACTTAAACCCTAAATCCTCAACCCTAAACCATTGAAAGGTCGGCCTGCCGGATGTCAAGGGACGGGCCCAGATTTTGGAGGCCATGGCCTGGGCTCTTTGGTTTTGGAGTTTACCTGGACCCAAAAGCCCTCCTCTTTAGGGTTTAGGCCTTTAGGGTTTTAGGGTTTAGGGTTTTAGGGTTTAGGGTTTAAGGTTTAGGGTTTAGAGGCTTCATATATACTACCATTATGGAATTAGGTCCCTGAAGCCATAACTAAGTATGGTCTTTGGGACATAAGTTCCATAATGTTAGTATATAAATATGGAGCCTCCAGGTATGCTTTTCTTATCCCAGTCCCTACAAAGGTAGGTTATTCAGGGCCGAAGTAATTCAAACTACCATGGTCGAGATTATGCTGGCTTCTACTGAAAAATGCAATCTAAGTTTAGGGTTATGCTTAACTATAATCGGGACATCTTCATGTATGGGTTTATGGTGAAGTTTGTTAACACGCGGACAGAGATTCTGGGCAGACCGATTGAGGCGGCGGAGCGTCCACTTCCCCTATAAGCACAAGCACTATAAACACTAAACCCCAAGGCTGCAAGTACGCCCTAAACCCTGACCCCTATGTCAAGCCCTAAACCCAAATCACCCTAATCCCGAAGCTCTATAAACCGTAAATCCTAAACTTCGAATCCTCAACAACCATGAACCCTCAAACAAAAAATGATCCCCCGACTCAACCCCAACCTCAACGTGACACTCAATTGTAGAGCGTTCGGGTTTAGGGCTCCAAAAACCAGGGCCTGGGGATGCTAGGGCTCCGGAAACGCCGAGGATTGCAACAAAAAATCAGATTCCGTGACAACAAGCATACCGACACCAAGCAGCGCGTCATCACACGTCTGGCAGGAAAGTTGGAACGAATGAAGACGTCTGTCTTCCGCCGCAATAGAGAAACTCGATTACCATACATACTCCAGGCAGGGGTAAACATTAGATCACCTGTGCAACCGCCAGGTCTTCAGTAAAGACGGTTTTCCTTTATACAGTATTTATACAGTATCAAGAAGGCGGACACATCACATTGGACGACATCGACAACCCCTGCACGAGCCTTAGGAAAGCATGTGTTCGTGGACCTTATGCCAGCGACTGTTGCCAACTCAGGCCGTCCACGGCAGAGAAATTTTTTGAAGAAGACGATGTCGATGTACCGCACATGCTGCCCGTAACTTTTGACGTCAGATGCACGTCCAGGTTTGTGTGGCACCGATGCACAAGACTTTGATTGCAAACATCATCGACAGCTTGCACCTTCTGCCGCCCGAGCCCGTATTCTAGATGCTGGTGCCTCCGCGACAAGAACAAAGAGCTCCCCCTTGCATCGACATCGTCGTGACAAACATCTTTAATTGATGCGAGGTGTAGCTTCTAGTGTGTTAGGGACCATCTGTTTACCCAATATGTTTACATACGTATAGATGTATCGATACATACCGATATACTATGTATATATTCTAATATGTCTGTATGTATGTACATATTTTAAGCATGTCTTGAATGTTCTGTTTAGTTTCTTTCCCACAGAATGAACTCCGATTGAGACAGGCTTTTTGCCTGCTTAAACCACACAGAGCCATAAGGATCCCTCATAAACCAGGAAGCATTTATTGTTTAGGGTTTAGCGTTTACTAAAGAAGCCTACAGAATTAGTTACAAAATTATTCCCTGTAGGAGTCCAAAGCCTTAAACTGTTCAAGCTCCTATATGACAAGAAGTTCTCGTCTTTACAGTAGGGCCTTGCGTAGTGCAGCAGATGCATGGGCAGGTCCACGTCAAGAACAAGATGCTTGGTGGAGGGCAGCAACACTGTGTTTCATGGGTGTCATGAAGGAGTAGACAATTACCGGCTTCTAGGGGCTTAGTGGCTTTGGTCAGGGTTTTTGACCAAACGCTGAACCGTAACCCCAAAAGCGAGCTTTGCAGCCTTGAATCCTAAGCCTCATACCCGAGCTGTGCCAAAGCCTGCAAGCACAGCTCCAGCCGCAGTTCCCGGGATGATCGGCCTGGACGGCTTAGGTGATAATGGATCGATAATGTCCCTTGGGTTTTCCTAGGGTGCTATGTAGCGTTCCTTTGCTTTTCTGTTGTTTCTCTGCAAGGGTAGTGCTCCGTTTAATGGATTTCAAGAGGGAAATTAGAAAGACGACGCAAGACCTCGGTATGTATATGTATATATATAGATGTGTGTGTGTGTGCAGTCTCAGGGTTCTGATGTGCGGGTTGAAGGTTTTTGGAGGTTCCAGCACACGTGCCTTCAAAAATAGTTAGAACTAGGGCTTTCGGGTGTAGCTATGTATATATATATATGTGTGTGTGTGTGAAAATGTGTTAGATTTTGGAATTGTTGTAATCAGGAGCCGGTAGGACGGAACAAGGTCAGTATTTGTTCAGGCTTCGTACTGTCACATCCACCTGGTTTCTTGCACGGGGGGCGGGGCGGATACTTGGAAAATGCCATAGCTGCAACACACACACACACACACGCACACCCCGCACACATGTATGTATGTATGTATGTATGTATGTATGTATGTATGTATGTATATATA